TCTCTTATGTTCTTATGTTATGTTCTTAAGCCCAAGCAGAGACAGGGGAAAAAGTTTCTTCCCTCTGGCCCAACCAAGATTCACTAGGCTCCGAGTTCCACAGCATCCTCTCGCAGGGAGCCTGCTGAAAGCTGAATGGAGGGAATGGGGCTGGGACCGCACACGCTGCTTCTGCCCTATGACAGCGGCAGCGGAAGAAGTCCTTGGACTGTGCCTCAGAAGATCTTCCAGAGAGGCACGGGTGGCTCTGCTCCCTCTAAAGGCAGCAAACTCTGTTGGCTGGCCTCGTTTGCATGCAGAATTAAGGCTTCCTCTAGCACCAGACAGAGCCAAGCTGCACCCTGAGCTAAACACCATGCTTCTAAAGTCCCTTCATTCCTCATTGTAAAAATGTTTTGAATAATATACTGCCAGGAGAAGAGTTCTGTGGAACTCAAAAACTCGCACCGTGGTGGTGGTGGTGGAAAGCACCTTTAAGCCACAGCCAACTTGCAGCAACCTTGTAGGGTTTCCAAGGCAAGAGACGAACAGAGGTGGGTTTGCCATCGCCTGGGCCTCCTCGATGCTGGTCTCCCATCCAAGGACTCACCAGGGCTGACCCCACTCGGCTTCTGAGATCGGATGGCCTTGGGCTAGCCTGCGGCCATCCAGGTCAGTGCCGTGGTGCTGAGGAACGCAGCCTTTTGCAGCCCCTGTCTGGGATCCGCAAGGGGCTGCCTTTTCAGGGGGCAGAGCTGCAGGCACCCCCGAGCAACAGGCCCCCGGGGCTCCTGACAGCTGCACCAGCTGTCCAATGAAGAGGCTAAATCAGCACAAAACTGAGGCCTGCGCATGCAGCAGAGATCACGTGCCATCCGTTTCCGAGCAGGACCAGGAGCCGCCCCCTCCAGGGGCTCACCCACTGCTGCACACCGCAAACTTGGGGGGCCTCAAAGTGCTGCAAATGCAGTGGGGAAGAAGACTCAGGTCCCCAAAAGATGGGTTCCAGTGAAGGATGTCTGTGGTGATCTGGGATCCCAGGAACGTGAAGTCTGTCACTACTTCCACGACTTCCCCTTCTATTTGCCAAGGAGTGATGGGGCCGGATGCCATGATCTTAGTTTTTTTGATGTTGAGCTTCAAGCCCACTTTTGCGCTCTCCTCTTTTACTCTGAGCAAGAGGCTCTTTAGATCCTTTTCACTTTCAGCCATTAGAGTGGTATCATCTGCATATCTGAGGTTGTTGATCTTTTCAATGAAGAGGCTAAACCGGCACAAATCTGAGGCCTGCGCATGCGACAGAGATCACGTGCCATCCATTCCCAAGCAGGACCAGGAGCTGCCCCCTCCAGGGGCTCACCCACTGCTGCACACCGCAAACTTGGGGGGCCTCAAAGTGCTGCAAATGCAGTGGGGAAGAAGACTCAGGTCCCCAAAAGATGGGTTCCAGTGAAGGATCCTGACGGACTACAGCAGTAAGGAGACCTTGCTTCCATCCTCGCTAAGTACCCACGGCACTAGAAGGGCACAGGAGCAGCCCCAGAGAGGTCAACGGTCCATCGGAACAAGGAAGCACCTCTTGCCAATGCCGGTGTTAGGTAAGGGAACCAGGAGCAAAGGGGGAAATGGGCAGAGGGCCAGCCCCCCTCAGAGGAAGAGAGAAGTGTACAAAAGACGAGCCGCGAGAGACCAGATCAAAGTGGATCCATCCAGTCCCGCCTTGCCTTTCCAGAGGTGGCCAAGAGACGCTCACAAGCGGGCCCCAAAGGCAGCAGCAGCACCCCCTGACGTTTGTTCCCAGCAACCAGCCCAAGAACGTCAGGAGAGAGAGACCCTGCTGGGTCAGACCAGCGGCCCATCCAGCACCCTGCTTCACACAGGGGCCAACTAGATATCCTGAGGGCCCAGAGGGAACAGCAGCCGAGGCCTTCCCCAGTGCTGCCTCTTAGCCCTGGAAATCAGCGGTCTGCAGCCTCCGTATAGGAAGGCTCCCCTCGGATAGTAGCCACCGACCGTACCCTCCTCCAAGAACCTCGTTCCCTCTTAAAGCCGCCTGTGCTTGTGGCCATCACTACAATTCAATTACTTGTTGAGTAAAAAGATATTTCCTTTTGTCCATCCTGAACCTATGGCCCACCAACTTCATTGGGTGCCCCTGAGTTCTGCTATTATGGGAGAAGAAGGAGAAAAACCTCTCTCTATCCACTTTTAAAACTCTGGCACTCGAGAGTTATACTGACTCCACACATGGAGTTTGCATTTAGCTAGGATGGCTAACAGCCTGCCCATGAATCTGCAGATCTTTTTTGCAAAATCACCTACTCTCATGGCTGTCAGCACACTCTGTATCAGCGAGACAAAGACCGTAGGAGCAGACAATCATGCCCACAGTGATGGAGAATTGACAGGATGCACCCAAACCCAGTGCCAAGGAAAGCCAACACCTTCATGTACAGAAACTATGCAAATGTGTGCACTTTTAACTACGCTGACTCTGCCCATCATGGGAAGGTGAGGGATACCAAAGGTCTGGCACCTGCAGCCTGGAAGTTCCACACACAGCCCCCACCGAGGGTGACCAAGCACGACAAAGATTTCTCTCCTTGTGGTGATATTTCTCCATAAAATCCAGTAGCCTAAACTCACTCAGCGTTAACAGGAAAGAACAGGATTGCAGAGGCGACCAAGTGCAGACACTAGTTTGTGTAACTTTTCTTCTGTTAAAATTAAAATTGCAGCCTCACAAGCAATGCTCCCTCTAAGCTGTGGAGTCTTGTGAGCAAAAATGCTACTTTGTGAGCTACTGGCATTAAAGCTGTGAGCAAGCAAATTGGCTACTGCGTAAATTAGTTTGCTCTGGAGCCATCCTTCCTGAGCCAAGACAAAAATCTGTGAGCTGGGGGCTAAAAAACTGTGAGCTAGCTCGCACTAACTCAGCTTAGAGGGAACACTGC